GAGGCAGTGCACAGGTAATTGCCTGGCCTTGTGTGCGCGTAGCTGTAGGGCCTGACTTGATGGCTTGTACCTCCTTTAAAAGCACGCTGTCGTGCTCTCACAAGGGCCCACGACAGCTGACACGCGCGACATTGCTTGGCAGCTTCCGCGAGGTAGCCGGCAGGAAGCCGACACACAGACGCACGGTCCTGCTCACAAAAGCGTGATCCCTTCACTGTGCCGCCTCAATATCCCCACGTCTCGGGAAAAGACGCACTGCCAGGGTGCGAGCACCTCGACCAGACTTCCGCCCTCTGGGCCACTGTCGCATCCTCCTTGCACGACACATGCGTGGAGCTACAGGTAACCACCAGGTTAGTTGCGAGCTTTGAGTTTGGTTGCGGCGGGGGTGATGTAGATGGTGAGCAGGTGGTCGGCGCGGCAGGAGGCACATTGTCTGCCACCCCGGCACTTGGTAGGTATAGTGCAGAAGTGTTCAAGCTCCATTGATATGAGGCGAATTGATTGCTGCTGCTTGCTGCAGGCCATGAGGACAACACGCACCGAGGACAGCATTACAGTGAGTACGACACAACGCCGCCGAAGAGCTGGCCCAGCTTGAGGATTCGGATGGCCCCCGAAAGCGCAGCAACGTGCAGCAGCAGCTGCAGTGGCAGCACTGCAGCCGCAGCTGGCAGCACTGCCGCCGCAGGTGCCAACATTGCAAAGGAGTCAATGCAACGCTCAGGTGCGATTGGGTTTTGCACACTGCCTTACACACGTGCAGGACATGCTCAGCCACAAACTGTTGCTCGGCAAGATCTACAACTCCAGGCCGCTGCCAGTGTCTTGTGAACAAGGAGAAGTCAGCTGCAGCAATTGCGGCCTGCAACCTTTGCTTAGTGTGTGCGGTTGCTTGGCTGGCCTCATGCTGCCATCTGCCCTGTGCTCCTGACCAAGCATATTAACGACCATTCTCCCTTTTGTGGTTGCTCACAGGTGACTTGCAGCCGCCCATGCGGTACATGCCACAGCATCCTCTGAGAGCTGCAGTGGCTGCGGCGGCTTCTGCTCCCGCTGCTGCTGTAAGAGCAGCTGCAGCTGCTGGTACTGCTGTAATAGCTGCTGCAAAAGCTGGTGCTACTGCTGCAATAACTGCTCTCACCTCTGCTGCTGCTGCGACTGCTGCTGCGGCTGCTCCGCGGCAAGCGCAGCAGCAGCAGGAGCAGCAGCAGCTTGCGTTGTTGCTGCAGCAGCTGCTGCTGCAGCAGCAGGAGCAGCAGAAGCAGCAGCGAGAACAGCACCACGAACATCTGCGCGAGCAGAAGCGCCTGCTGGAGCAGCAGCAGCTGCTGCTGGAGCAGCAGCAGCAGCAGCAGCAGCAGCAGCAGCAGCAGCAGCAGCAGCAGCAGCTGCTGCAGCAGATTTGGCAGGCTGTGCAAGTGGCAGCTCCTCGCAGCGCCACACTAGCAGCTTCGACTGCCGATGCAGGCAGGCTGTCGGATGTCAGGCGGGCGCTGCAGTGCTCCGTGCGGCTTGTTTGTGATGAGGTCTGCGTGCGCACAGCTGACGGCTCCAGGGTTCCGCCCATCCAGCAGCTCCTCTCTCGAGATGTGGACAGCGGCCACTTCGTTTGGTAGGTTGTGTTTGTGGGCTGATGAGACCAACACAGCTGCGCAGGCACTCAAGCAAGCTTGCTTAAGCTTGCGTGTTCTGCATCACCGCTCCATAACGCTGCGGCTGCGACAATTTTGTGCCGGACCGATTGCGCCGGACCGATTGCGTAAACATCATTTGACAACTTGCCATGCTTGCAGGCAAGCAGGCGTGGTTGAGCCCCAACACCGGGTAGCATACCTGAGGCACATGAAGGCCAGGCTCATGGCCAAATTCCGTCAGAACCACAATGCCGACCTACCCGACGAAGTGGAGTGGACTGATGCTACCAGCACACTGCTCAAGTAGGTTTCAACAACATGGTCCTGGCACCGTCACTTCAGAAAGGGCCAGCAAGTTCTACATATGCATGACACTGTGCTCCACCCCCCCACCCTCCCACCCCCGCACCAGGTACACACCACAGGGCTGTGCGTTCCCCATTTCCTCCAAGAACGACGAGGTCATGGCGGCGCATTGCTTTATTCCTGAAGCTGGTTTGGTTGGACTCGAGGTCAAGAAGCAGTTGAACCCCAAGGTAGGTGACTATAACGGTGTTGTTGTTGTTGTTGTTGTTGATGATGATGATGATGATGATGATAATGATGATGATATCCTGCTGTGCACACTGATATGCAACGAGCGTTAGCCCAACGCGTGGCAACGCGTGCCCACTTCCTCTTCAGGCCATCAGGCAGGCCGAGGTGGAATTTTACGTGTGGGACTACCATTCCAGCTTCCCCTTCTGCCAGATCGTAACGGATTTTGGCAGGGGGGGCGTGGCCTTCTACTACCAAGGCACAGATGCGGATGGCTCCAGGGTGGTCTGCCAGCATGTCTTTTGCACGATGGACAAGCTGTACGACTTCATAGCAGCGCTGATCCATGGACTGCCCCAGCACGTACTGAGCTCGACCCCAAGCGCCGAGGTGACAACGGCTTGCACGCTCGATTGACCAACTGCCATGCACGTGCCCAGCCATCCTTCTTTGCTTGTAGACACTCACAGGCCAGGGACCGATTGCACACGTCACACAAAGTCTTGCATGGATTGCCATGGCAGGGGCGCGTGCGTACGATGACATTTGATACTGGTGAACGGTGCGCAGCATGCGCCCCTGCCCCTTCAGCAACTGATACGTGCTTGTGCTTGCACGCGCCTAATGGTGGTATGTGCTGCCCTGCCCACGACATCGCTTGTGCAGGGTGTGCTGTTTCCTGCGGAGCTGTCTACGCCAAAGCGCATGAGGCTGCAGCCCCTTGTACCGCTCCGCCAGCCAACGGTCTTTGTGCTCGATCCCAATGTTGATGGTCCATCTGGGGGCGACGGGGCGTCCGGCAGTGGTGCTGATGACACTGCTGGGGGTGCCGGTGGAGCTGCGGGGTCGACCTCGAGGGCTGGGATCGGCGCTGCAGGAGGCGGCAGGCTGGGGTACGTCATGTCTGGAGGCGTTGCAGCCGGCACCGAGGGGGCCACGCACCATGGGCTGCATGCTGGGGCGCCAGGCCCTGATTATGCTAAAGCGATGCGGATTCTTTACGACATGCAGCAGGGCAGCGACGTGGCTTGCTTGCAGGACTTGGAAGATTTCGACTGACCTGTCGGCTGTTGTGTATGTCTGAAGGCCTTGGTCGAGGATCATCCACATTGTTGCAAGTTCAGATTGTTGATGGTAATTCTGCTGCTGCGGCTGCTGCTGCGGCTGCGGCTGCTGCTGCGGCTGCTGCTGCCGCTGCTCGTCAAGTGCGTGAGTTTTTCCGGGCGATGGTTTTTGAGGCTCGCGAGTGCTGGGGCGGCTTGTGTAGATGTATTGCCTGTGCAAGGAGTCAGCGCATTGCGTGCCTGATCATCAGTAACTGTTTTCCGTAAAGATGGCTTGAGACTGCCAACCCAGCGGCTGTGTTCTCGTGTCTCTTCAACCTCAAACGTATTGCCTTTTTAGGAGGCATGGACCAGTCCACAGGCGCCTTGCTCTGCCGGTGCAGATGGAATTGCATGTTCTGCAGTCCACCAGCTGCGCTCCGCACGGCCGTGTGCCTGGACACTTATTTCATTCTTGGTGCTGCACAACGCGTTGCGTGGTTGCTCCACGCGCCATAAACCCAAGTAAGGTTCCACATGTAAAGGGGAACGTTGGCAGGATGCTTTGCACAAAGTCAAACATGTCATAGTGCCGGATGTTGCCCACGCAAGCCGCGGCAGTTCGCTTGAATGCTGAAAAGCGCCAACCTGCACGCTGCTGCTGGGCGAAATGTACTTGCCGCAATCTTTCAACGTGAGAGCGGTTGTGGACTGCTCGCATCAAGGGCCTGTCCAGTCGTTGGCCAGCATCGAAATGCAAGGGGCCTGCAACAAAGCAAGGCAACAGCTATACTCCATGCATGCGTGAAGCAGCAGGGACGCTGCCCTGTTGTTGCTGCCACAACTCACCGCGCGCTGCATCAACTTGTTGCTCACGCGGCCCCATGAAGAAAAGCGGCGCGTACTTTGAACACACTCTGTTCAAGTATATGGCACTCCACACGATGTTGCCTCATGCAAGAATGTTGACGCAAAACTCCGTTGGAATTTTTTAGCGGCCTTGCGCAAGACGGCCCAGCTATGCCAACATCCTGCTGGGGTCCGTCTTGCTCGGAGGCGTCACTGGTCAACCCCTGCAGGCGGCGCTTACTTACTTGCAGCGCCTGGCGCAGTACTCAGTGCTCCCTGCTGCTCAACCCAGTCCCATGCATCCGTTCCCTTCCCCAGCAGACTCTCAACCATCAACAGCAGTCCGTCTCACAGCGCTCGCGAGGCGCAGTGGCTGAGAGCAGCGATATGTGCTGGGCACGGGGCCGAGGTCAGATATCCGCCACTCTGAGGACGATCTTGCCGCGCGCGTGTCCGCCCTCCGAGTGCGCGTGAGCCTCCGCAACCTATGGGCAGCAAGGGGCGCGGTAGCGTGTGCATCTACAAGAGGCCACCAAACCAACAGTCCTGCTTTTTTGACGGCAAAAGAATGCAAGCCCAGGTTCTCACTTGCCTGCCAAAAACGGCAAACCACGCTCCCCCCGTTGCACATCCCTGCAGCCCAGGTTTGGTCCGGGTGTCCCCAGGAAACATGGCCCCACCACCTGCTCCAGGGACAGCACCCTGTCGATGAGGGGCTTCACCTTGCCCTCCGCCATCAGGGCGGCCACCTGGCGTTGTTTGGGGGTAAAATCTGGGCTGGTGGGTAGCTCGTGTGGGCGCAGATTTTGTTACGGACGGTCAGGTAAATCGTGTAACGTGTCGGGTGGCGGGGATGGAGGAAGCAGTGGGGAAGGGGGCGTGCGGGGTCTCGAAAGTGCACCAGCAAAGTTGGGCGGGTCAGGTGTCCCAGGATAAATAAAGGTCAGTGTGACAGGGAGCTCACACCCGACCTTGTGCGCAGCGACTCAGAGGCACAACACTTGCCGGCGGCCGCAGACCACCACGAAAGCCGCCGGCCACCCCGCCGCCGCGCACCCGCCCGCTGCAGCGCACCCACCTGCTGCAGGCCCCTCGACGCCTGGGGCCGCATCACCAGCAGCTCGTAGCTTGGGCCCCAGCCCAGCGCCGACAGCAGGGTGCCCTTGGCCACGCAGTACACTGTTGCAGCCAGCCCCCGCGCGACGCCATATCTACAGCCATGGCAGCGGCAGCAGCCGCGGCAAACGCAAGGGGGTGGGGGGTGGGAACGCACAGCGCACACTTCAGACAGAGTTGGTGGTCGTGGGTTTGTGTGCGCGCAGCCGTGGGGCCGTAGACCTGCCGTCTTTGGCTCATCGCCCTTCAGGATGTTTGCATCGCCACCTGCAGCATTGGTGCGGCCGGCACAGCAGGCGGCGGCCTTGCGCTGCATCGCAAAACCGGCATCACACGTGTGCGCGCCCTGTTTTCATTGTCCAATGGCGACAGCATGAAATGAATGGCGCAGCGGCTCACTTCTTGATCCAGCCATGCGCGAGGACATTCACATAGTGGCCGCGCCGCTCGCCCTGCAGGGGTGTGAGCGCCCATGCACTTGCAACGGCCTCGCGCGAGCTCTGCCGGTGATGACACTGCCATGCATGTAGGCCGGGCGCTCATGCAAGCAGCTGCGTGTCAGCGACACATATCGAATTGCCGTCTGCATTGGGCAACATCCTTGTGAAGCGAAGAAAGGCCATGCACGCGTGCAACGGCCTCGAAGCTTCCCACCTTGCCGCCCTTCTTGAGTAGCTTCACGCCCCTGGTCTCGTAGTCGCCCCCGATAAGGTCAACGATGATGTCATACGGCCCCGGGGCGACGTCATCAAACCTGTCCTTGGTGTAGTCGACTGCCACGTCAGCGCCCAGGGTCTGGGTCACCAGGGCCACGTTGGAGGGGCCGCAGGTGGCGGTGACGCGCGCACCCAGCGCCTTGGCAATCTGGGCGTGGTGGGTTGCATGATGTGTTTGCACGCGTGCGTGTTTTATGTGTGTGCTTGTGTGCGAATGTGTGCGAATGTGGGTAGCAGGGGTCCTTGCAAAAGTTGGATGTCAGTCCTGACGGTGTCAGCGAGGACGCTTCGCACGCACTAACAGACGGCCATCAGGCGTTGTTGCTGACAAGCGGCACCCCTTGATACCGTAATGGAATCGCGGAGCCCCGTCTCGCCCCCCCCTTCCGTCCTCAAGGCGAGATCACCTGGATGGCGAAGCTGCCCACGCCGCCCGATCCCGCGTGCACCAGCACCGCCTTGCCCTCCAGCGGCATGCGCGCCTCCAGCGCCTGCCACGCCGTCATGGCGGCCAGGGGCACGGCGGCCGCCTCCTCGTAGCCAATCCCATCCGGGATCTTTTCAAGGGTATCTTGGGGCGCGGATACAAACTCCGCATAGGTGCCGTAGGTCACGTTGAACACCTGCTGCCCCGTGCAGCCGAAGACGCGGTCACCCTTTTTGAAGGGGCTGCCCTCGTCAGCCTCCAGAACGACGCCCGCCACGTCGCCGCCGGGGATCTGTTGGCGTAAAGATGGAATCGGGCTTTGGGCATGCGCTCAAGCCAGAGGCGGTGTATGCTACACAGCAGCCTGTCACTGGGGAAAGGTTCAAGCCTGCAGAAAGGGGTTAAAACCAATGAGCCTCGCCGATCGAGCACTCCCCTGGTGGGAGCGGGCTGCGCGTCGAGCAGCAGCTCGTGACTTACTCGAGTGTGTTCCCGCTGCGCACCTTTGGGAACGTCACCACCGCGCGTGGCACCTGCTTCCCCTCTCGCATCTGGTGTCACGCGCGAGCATGTAATGGGAATGACAGGGGTAACATGCTGGGCGGATGCATGCGTGCGTGCGTCGTGGTGCCTTTCGAAAGTTCTGCAAAGAACTGCATACAGCAGTTGTGTGGCACGCAACTCTGAGCGGGCGGCTGCACCCCAGCCCTGTGGCACTGCACTGCCAGTTGCCTGTCAGTAGGGGAAGCCCAGGGTGTGGTGAGGTGGTGCCCTCTGCTCGCCTCAATAATAAACTAGTGCCGCACCACAGCCACAACCATGCTCCAACGCACACGTGCACATGCACACACACACACACACACGCACACGCACATACACACACGCGCACGTACACAGGCATGCTCGCACCCGCACACGCACACATGCGCGTGCACATGCACATGACGAAATGCCCGCATGTATTAGTGCGCATGCCAGCGCACGTGCACTTGCACACTGGAACACCATACCTTGACATCAATTGGGTTGACTGATGCCGCCGCCACCTGTATGAGCACCTCACCAGCCTTGCGCTGGGGCTTCGGAAAATCCGCCTCCACCTGGGGGGGCAACACATGCGTGGGCAACACAGCGATGCCGGGCACAGGAGTTGGCAGGGGCCGCCCCGGCCGGCGCGCTCGCAGCTCCCCAGGAACGCGGCGGCCGCGGCTGGTTGAGGCTGCAGCCGCGGGGGAGCTGTAGGCCGCTGCGCAGGCGCCCGACTGCTGCTGCAGCAGGGCCTCGACTGGTGCTGCCGCTACCGCTGCTGCTGCACCGGTACGTGCTGCACGCTTTGGCACGTCTCCCCTGAGAGGTGCCTCGTTGCCATACGGTACTGTCCGCGCAGCGCCGCCAGCAAATACGCCATGCACGGCTTGAGCGGTGCCAGCAGCTCCCCCCTGATCCCGCTGGTGTCGTCTTGCCAGCCCTACCTTCAAAACGTCCGGCGGGCCTTGCGCCCGCATAACAGCCGCGCGCATGTTGACAGCCAGCGCAGGGTACCGGTAGGATCGACGAAGCTGGCTTTACGCCACCGCTGATGAGGATGATGCGTTGCGGCAGAGACGGGCTCACGGCGCTGCGAGTGGCGTGTTCGCGGGGCAGGAGCAGGTTGCGGATTGATCATGCAAGTCCCAAATCAAATTGACATCCCCAAATTCACACATGGTAAAAGATGAACCGTTGAGGCGGTCGGTTGACAGGTGAGAGGTGACACGGCTCGTCCTGCGCTTGAAGCAGCGCAGGTGATCAGGTCACTCCCGCTGATTTTATTGGAATACCCAGTTCAAACAAGTCGGTATCACACCCAGATCAGGACACCTTCTCAATAGTTCAATTTCATGCAGATACTCGCGTGCCATTAAGAATTATGAAGGCTGCCGTGCTTACAGCACAAGGACCGCCCAGCGTCCTTCAGGTGCGCGTTGTCTTGTCCCTGTCAGAGCCACTCACAGCCCCCAGGCGGCGTCTCAAACCTGACATGTGTGCTCTGCAGCAGCACTGCTACCCCGAATGCACTCGCGGCGACGAGGAAGCACGCCTTGCAGCGAAGTTCGCCAGTTTTTGATGACTTGTGAACAGTAGGAAGGACTTTCATGGCACCGCGCGGTGTGAGTCCGAACATACGGAACGCCACTCACCCGCGTCTGCCAGCCCCCACCCCTCAACCCCTCAGATTCAGCAGGGCTACCCGCCGCCGCAGCGCCGGCCTGGGGAGGTCCTGGTGCGCGTGGCGGCGGCATCAGTCAACCCTGTAGACGTGAAGACGCGATCCGGGGTTGTGCCGCGCCTCGTCACCGCCATCCCGCGGGTGGGTGGGACGGCCCTTGCATGGGGCCGCGTCTTGGAGGGGGGGCGGAGTGTGTTCTGTGCTCCAAGGCTGAATGCCGCGACACTGCCCCACTGCTACAGCACGCATGCTGAATGCAGCTGAACAGCCGAGCGCGCATGTGAGACGCAACCTGTCCCACAAAGTGTGCGTTTCAAGAACCCCGCCTGCCGCCGCACGCCTCAGATCCTGGGATCTGACGTGGCGGGCGTGGTCGAGGCAGCGGATGAGGGCAGCCCCTTCAGAAAGGGCGACCGCGTCTTCGGCTGCACAGGGCAGCACATATTCAATTCCAGATACGGCACCTATGCAGAGCTAGTCAGCGCCAGCGAAGACGCTTTTGAAAAGATCCCGGACGGCGTGGGCTACGAGGAGGCTGCCGCCGTGCCCCTGGCCGCCATGACGGCGTGGCAGGCGCTGGAGGCGCGCATGCCGCTGGAGGGCAAGGCGGTGCTGGTGCACGCGGGGTCGGGCGGCGTGGGCACCTTCGCCATTCAGGTGATCCCGCCTTAAGAGGGGCGAGGGGGGGGGAGGGCGCGAGGCCACATTCAACATCGCTGATACCAGCGTTGGCTTGAAAGGCCACCCCCTGCCTAGCTTTGCATCACACATCCTGCCCAGTCCTATCTTTCGCAACAACGTCTTGCGCTCAATGTGCCGGTGGCCTCGCTCTCCGGAGCCCCCACCACTCACCCCGCCCGCCCACCAGATTGCCAAGGCGCTGGGTGCGCGCGTCACCGCCACCTGCGGCCCCTCCAACGTGGCCTTGGTGACCCAGACCCTGGGCGCTGACGTGGCAGTCGACTACACCAAGGACAGGTTTGATGACGTCGCCCCGGGGCCGTATGACGTCATCGTGGACCTCATCGGGGGCGACTACGAGACCAGGGGCGTGAAGCTGCTCAAAAGAAGAGGGAAGGTGCGACCATCATGTGTACGCCGCGGCGGTGCATGTCAGGCGTTGTGAAGCGTTGTGTGTGGCGCCTGCAAAACGCCAAGTCTCAGCCTAGTGCCGCGACACCCTGGACGCCGCGCCGCGCGCTGCTGCGCCCTGCAACACGCACGCATTCCTCGGTCCCCGAGGTGTGCCCCGCAATCTATCTGGCTCGTGCGACGCACCACGCTCCGCTCTCCGCCTGCCCGCCGCCCCACAGGGCGAGCCTGGGGGCCACTACACCAACCTGCTGACCCACGGCTGGAACAAGAAGTGAGCGCCGCGCTCCACCCCCACACGCATTCCCACAACCCATACACGCACGACCTGACAGAACTTGCCCTCTTGTTTCGCTGATCATATACGGGTGGCACGGAAGCTGCATCCCTTTTGGTCGGCCGCGCTTTAAGCGAGGTGCCCCGGAAGCTGCGCCCCTGGTCACCCTGCAGGGCTGGGGGGCGAGGTGATCCACCAGGACCGGCTCGTCAGCGCCACCGGCCCGGCGGCTCCCTTCACGAAGCGGCAGCAAGGCTCCGCTCAGCTGCGCCGGCCCGCCTCGTGAGCGCCTGCCGCGCTCGTCGATGCCGCCCCCGCCCGTCTCGCCCCCTCCCCCCCAGGTACGGCCCCGGCCTGGGTGGCGCCATCACGCTGCTGAGCGCAGCCAGGGGCACCCTGCTGTCTGCGCTGGGGCTGGGCCCAAGCTACGAGCTGGTGACCATCCAGGCCAAGGCGTCCCGCGGGCTGCAGCAGGTGAGGGGCCGTTTTCCCAGGGTGGGCCGGGTCAACGCATCCGCGTCCGCACCCTGCTGGGCCGCACGCCGTATTCCAGGTGTCTGAGTTTCTGTGCAGCATCTGGGTTTGCGACAGTGTTTGCCTGGCCCCGGCTGCTCGGCAGCGGTTTGCCACGCATAAGGCCTAGGCGTTGCAGAGCAAAGCCCTGCTGGCAGCGGTTGGACTGGCTGCCCCAGTCGGATCCGTTGAACCATTGAGGGTTAATGACAAATGTGACATCACCAGCCTTGCCCTTGCTTGAAACTCTTTTCTAGGTGGCCGCCCTGATGGCGGAGGGCAAGGTGAAGCCCCTCATCGACAGGGTGCTGCCCCTGGAGCAGGTGTGTGTGTGTGTGTGGGGGGGGGGTGTTTTCCTGGGGAACCCGGGACCAAACCTGGGCTGCAGGGGTGTGCAACAGGGGAGCGTGGTTTGCCGTTTTTGGCAGGCAAGTGAAAACCTGGGCTTGCATTCATTTGCCGTCAATAAGACAGGACTGTAGGTTTGGTGGCCTCTTGTAAATGCACACGCCACTGCGCCCCGTCCCGCCCGCAGGTGGCGGAGGCTCACGCGCACTCGGAGGGCGGACACGCGCGCGGCAAGATCGTCCTCAGGGTGGCGGAGCTGTGATCCAATTTTGCACTTTGTAGACAGGTTGTACAGTATGTGTGGAGCCCATACTACGGGCTGTCGCTTAGTGATTCATGCATCCATGCATGATGTTTGAGGCGTGTGAGCGGTGTGGTCCTGGCGGTCAAGGCATGGTGTCCAGCGGGCTGCGCTGCAATCAAAAGCGTGGCTGGTGGGAGCGACCTGCACCGGCATCACGTTGCTAACATTACCGCGGGTGAGGTATGCGTTTGTGCGGTGGTGTCGTTACTTCATCAAGGCAAGAGGGTTGATCATTGTGGCGCATTGAATTGCTCGAGACGATATGACTGCCCAGGTGGAATAGTAATTGAGCTGAAGCAACAACAACAAATTCCACTTGGTATCAATGATCTTTTAGCACAACCGTTTGTCAGATACCGAGGGTCAAAAGGCAACCGAGGGAGGGAATAGCACGCTTGATTCAGCGCGCCCTCGAGCCAGTGTCTCAAAAAAGGCACAACCGCCGGCCCTGGCACACGGCCGGGTGGCCAGCCACCGGCCGCCAGCAAAAACCCCGTCGCCCCCCGCTCAGTCGCAGGGCCCCAACGCGTCGCCGCACGCGTCGGCCAGGAGCAGGTGCAGGCTGCTGTCGTTGAAGGCGGAAGTCACGTGGAAGCCGCAGTCGGGGACCGGCAGCTCGGCCACCGCGCCTGCGCTTGTCAGCAGTAGGAAACAGCATGGTTGTGGACAGTGTGTGGTACAGATACAGGTAGACATCATGATATATTTTAAGAGGAAATACGAGCAGCCATGCCAGGGCCTGACCAGCATTGCCAAGGGCGGGGCGCAGGCCGCGCATACGCATCGGAATCATAGCGCCAAGTGGGAGAGAAAAAAAGTCATGCAGGGGTGAGGCCGCCGGCCAGATCGTAGCCCCTCTTCGCTCCCCCGCCCCTTGGCCGCGCCCCCGCCAGCGCGGACCCACCCGCCTCCACGAGTCGCAGCAGCCGCCCCGGCCGCGCGCCGCCCGGCTTCGCGCCCGCCGCTGCCCAGCGCTCCCTGTACAAATCAAAGCTGTTGCCCAGGACAGCCAGGTGTGGCAGGCGGCCCGCGCGCCAGTTGGCGGCCAGCAGGCTGTCGCAGAGCGCGGCCTGCGTGAGGGAGGCGAGGGGCCGCTTGACAGGCAGCTTTGCAGCCGGGGGCCGGCGCCCTGCTTCGCTTGAGCTGCGCAAGCGGTGGGCGCGGGGCCGATGGCTGGGGCGTCTGGGGCGAGGGCGCGCCGTGCGGCGCTGAGGGGTTGCGGCTCAAAAGGGCTGGGTCCATTTCGGATGCAAGAAACCGCTTGAAATTGAATTCGCAGGCTCCGTTTCAAAATGCAGGTGTCCGTTTGAAAGACGATCAGAGGGCCCTGTGTCGGCTCACCTCGCAGTGGGGTAAGTAGAACAGCGTCTGTTCCTCTGCCACGCGGGCGCCGCCCTCGTTGGTGGCGATGACCTGGCAGCCCAACGCCGCGATGAGGGCGGCGTCTGTCGCGGAGAACGCAGGGTCGAAGAGCTGCGGCGGCGAGGAGAGGCCGGGCAGGAGGTCCCGCAGCAGCAGCGCCAGCGCCAGCTGGCGGGCGCGGCGGGGTTTTGGG